GTTCTATCATTCTATCAATGTATTTTTCAGTTCAAAGTCACAGGAGCAAAAACTTTTGACTTGACCCCGAAAAACACCCATAATTCTTTACAAAAGTACAGTTTGGCTTAACACGATTTCCGAAAAATTGCTTGTTAATATCTTTGACTAAATCTTGGACATGTTCACAGTATTGTTCATCTAAAGACTAAAAAAGTCTATCACTATTTTCCAGTAAATGCTAAATTTAAAGTACCGGTAGCAATTTTTTGCCACTAAAATGTTAGATTTTATAAATTTTTTCTATAATTTCTTTGATAATTTTGAACCAGATGAACATTCATTCAGATCAATCAATTTTTGAAAAAAATATGGAAAAATGCAGGTTTATTTTGTTAAAAAGTTAACAAAAGTAAACTTCAGACACCATTCACAAAATAGTTTCATTGTAGTCTGCACTTCATTATATAAAATGTGGCAAGTTTTTGTTCAAAAATCAGAAGCAATGTCACACATCCAAATATAATTAAGTAAGTAAAAATAATTGGATGTCATAACAGATATTTCTAAACATTGTAACTTTGTGAATACTTGCAAATTCACTCTCTGGGGAAAAAAAAACTTATGCTGATAAAAGAAGCTCCTAGAAAGAAAATTCACGAGACTATGTTATAACTAATTGTTTTCTTTTTTTGCAGCTTGAGAAACAACAGAAACTGAATGAACTGGATGTCGTAGTAGCATTAAAACTGCACCAAGTTGAGCATATGGTGAACGGCGTTGTACCACAAGATTTGTCTCAATGTCTTGTGTTCTGTTGTCACGGCATGTTCTCGTTGCAGAGAAGAATTAAAGAACTGAAAGATGAAAAGTCTGCACAAAGGAGACATTACAAGTGAGTAATGCGATGTAGAAAAAGTAGAACTGAATATGAATTGAAGTTTTGTTTTCCCGTGTTAGTGATTATGAATCTAGTCATTGCTGGTGAATTATTTTAAAGGAACATTTTGAGGTTACAGACTCAATATATCTTTCAGTCAAACTGTTCTATCATTCTATCAATGTATTTTTCAGTTCAAAGTCACAGGAGCAAAAACTTTTGACTTGACCCCGAAAAACACCCATAATTCTTTACAAAAGTACAGTTTGGCTTAACACGATTTCCGAAAAATTGCTTGTTAATATCTTTGACTAAATCTTGGACATGTTCACAGTATTGTTCATCTAAAGACTAAAAAAGTCTATCACTATTTTCCAGTAAATGCTAAATTTAAAGTACCGGTAGCAATTTTTTGCCACTAAAATGTTAGATTTTATAAATTTTTTCTATAATTTCTTTGATAATTTTGAACCAGATGAACATTCATTCAGATCAATCAATTTTTGAAAAAAATATGGAAAAATGCAGGTTTATTTTGTTAAAAAGTTAACAAAAGTAAACTTCAGACACCATTCACAAAATAGTTTCATTGTAGTCTGCACTTCATTATATAAAATGTGGCAAGTTTTTGTTCAAAAATCAGAAGCAATGTCACACTTTGTCTGTTTAGTCCAAAATTAAAACGAAAATTGCAGAAATGTCAACAAATTTACCAAAACTTAAGTCAAAATTTTTTATCCAAAAACATTTGACGCTCAAAGAATTAAGCTCAGTTGTACGGCTGATCTGCACGGCTGATCTGCACTGGCTCGGAAGATGAATTCTGATTGGCTAAAAAAACAAAAAAACTTGTGGCATTGAATGCACGTTCATTGTCAGTATTGTTATGCAAATTCAAACTAGCTAATCATTTACAACCTTCCGAGCCAGTGCAGATTAGCCCCAGTTGTACTGCCCATAGGATTCAGTAATTAAGGTTCAACATATCATTAATCTTTTCTCACTAACATTGACTTTGTACATTTTTTAGGGAGCATCGACAGCAGCATGTACAGCTGATTAAAGATCGTAAACTAATGGAGGTCAAGATACAAGAATTAGAAGAGAAATGCAACGAGATGATGATGCTGAAATTTGGGCGTGTTGTCGATCTGGAAAAATTAGAGACGATTGGAGTGAACCGAAATGTGGAAGAGCTCAAGGAAAAATTACGTATAAATGAATATGCACATGCTGAGGAATTGCGAAAATTAGAGGTAAAAATAGTTAGGGTTGGGTGATTGAGTATGTATGCAGAAAATGCTGAAGTCTTGCTCATTAACATATGTTATCAAACAACAATATTGAAAATTACTTGTTTTCATTCATATTACATCTATAATTGTAAATCCACTGATTGGTACATTCCACCCATAACTATCTTAACTGGCAAACAGGTTACTGTAAAAGGATTAATTATTCACTGGGTTTTAATTTTGCTTATTTCGCTGACTGGAAAATGCGCTAAATTAAAACCCAGTGAATATATAAAATTTAGCATAGAACACATTATCTAAATGATAAAACCGTTAATTTAAAACCCACTGAATATGCCTGAAATGCTAAATTAGGGAAATTTAAACCCAGTGAAAATTAGTCATTTTACAGTATATATTTATCATTGACGGTATTGTTTGTTTCTTTGTAGGACAAGATAGCACACAAAAAAGATAAAATTACAAATTTAACGCATGACAACACAGATAAAATAGAACAGTTAACATTATTGCTGGGAGAAAACAAAGAACTCGAAGGCCTTTTAGATTCCAGACAAAAGAATTTGGTAAGTCACTTCTGCGATTGGTTTAGTTAAAATTTTTGGTGCTTGAGTTGTTGCCAAACATCCGCAGTTGATTTCATAGTGATTAGACGCAACAGTGAGGTATTTCAGTGTATTGGTTACTGGTTTTCTTGTGCTTGTCTCGTTTGCATTTGATTGTGTGGCGTCTGATTTGCAACAGCATGAATAAAAACATTGTACCAACCTAAACTTCACAGTCACACTGACTGTCGATCACTAACTTTCGTGCTCTTTGCATGCTTGCGTACTAACGAAAACTGCGCTAATCACAAATGGTATATCTGAAAGTGGTGTAAATATTATATACCACGCATCCATCTATACATGCTGTATAACAAATTGGTGTAAAAATCATATAGAACTTTCCATTTCACAGTGGTGTAAATACTATATACCACTCTTCAATGATGTAATAATGCTTTAAATATCATAAATATTTACTTTTTTCATTGTTTATATCCATCATTACAGGGTGAAAAACCGGTAAATAATCTAGGCATTTAATTCCTGAAAGAACTTTCTATTAATTAATGCATTTTTGTATTGAAAGCGAAGGAGTCGTCACATGCACATGCCGAAATTGAATCCTAAGCGACTAATAACAATACACACTAAAAACACAAATGCTCATAGAAAGACGCTTGTTTGTAAACAACAACACATTATGTTCGTCTGACGCATATGTAGGTGACGACTCCCCCACTATAAATATTTTGCATGTTTTTGCAGTTACAGAATTTGTTTTTACGTTTTGCATGGTGTTACTTTTGATTTTTTACTAATATTTTCATTTAGGCAGTTTTCATTTTACACAAAGTTTCATTTGCGTCACAGAAGTACTTCATCTCTATTTAGTTCAAGTAGCTTTTGTAAATTTTTTCAAGAAATTTTTTAAAATTATAATCCTTAAATTATAATTTAATAAAAGTATTAAATATGCAGCATACATCACTCAATTCCCCCAAACAAACCAGTTTGTCGCCCTCTATCAGGCATAACCTACATATGTCAATAGAGGGCAGTATACAAACATCTTGGTGCATAGAGACCGTCTTATTGGCGTTTCACCGTCTCCACCTTAGGTGAAACATCTTCCATTGGCTACACATCTTGATATAATTTCTGGAAATCTTTTATTTAGTGAAAGGAGGCAAAAGTTGGCTATCTTTCAAAAGGTTGAACAAATTCAATCCTAAAACCATATTTATTTTAAATTGATGCCTATCTAAACTTATTTCACACAACCACAACCATAAACTGTTTTAGTTCTCTCGTAATAAGATTTCCACAGTGATGGTACAAATCATCTAACTTTTTACTCACTGTACTATGTTCACCGATATTGTATTATTTGCATTCATCACAGATAATCAACAAAAGTATATTCTACAGTTGCAGTGTTTGTGTTCTTTTTATCATAGTTAGTAATATTGATGTTTTCTGTTGGTCGCAGTAGAGACAGTGTGTGTCATTGAAGGATGGCAGTCAAGCTGTTGTGAATATTTAATATTTTACCCTCCATTGTTCAGAAAGCATAAACAAGTATGCAATAGGATGAATATCGCCCTTAAATGCATACTTGCTGTTTTGTTTTCAAAGAGAGGATGACATTTTTGGTTATATAAAATCAGTTCTGAGTATTACATGACTATCAGCCGGGCATAAATATCCTATGATGCCACATTTTTGATTTCTCATTTGGAGTAAAAATCATCTAATAACTTGAGCTGTCACCAACAGATAACAATAATGTTATAATTGCTTCTTACTGTAAAATACTTAATTTTCTCTTGGGATTAATTTTCGCTGAAGGAATAATTCAGTAAAAATAAAATCCAGCGAATATACCTTTTTTCCTATATTTTACATTCAACTTGTCAAAATAAACTCCATACAAAACACCCAAAAAGTCCTTTTAAACGAAAATTATTTCCAGCTAAAATAAAGTATTCTACAGTAAGGCAGATGATGACAATTCAATAGTAAATTTACCATGTCTGCTACCATACTTAAATGCATTCCTGAATTCTTTGTTATTTTTCTTCGCAGGGTGGTGAATTTCAGGGCGTGCGAAAAGCGGACGTTCGAGAAAGGCAAAGGTTGATTCAACTTGTCCAACTACAAGCGCAGGAAATTGACGCCTTAAAAGAAGAAATTGGTTTACTTTCGCGAAAAGGCGGGCATATTTTACCACCAACACAGCCTCCATTACCGCATACTGCTACCGCGGGTAGCATGGGTCGCCCAGTTACCGGCAGTAATCCATAGTGCCTTGTATTTTGTATAAGTTTATGAAAGTTTCTTCTTTGAAAAACTATCCAATTGTTACTGAATGTTTGTTTGTTCACACCCTCAATCTGTATGGCACCTCCCTATGGTAAAATGGTAGATTCCATCTTCCTCAACCAAACACTGACAATATCCCAACATTTTAGTTGCAGTACTTCCGCTTAACCCATACATACATATTCCGTCCTACAAAAATGTGAATACTCTAAGTTGTTTTTCAACTGCAATTCTATTTATATTTGGCATAATGTAGATTTCGTGACAACACAAAGTAAACCATATTGTAAAAATAATTCTATTTCTTGTGTGACTCAATCTATTCTTGTGTACTTAAATAAATTGTAAATTTTCATCTGTGCTAATAAAAATTGCTGTATATTTGTACTCTTTATACAAATCTGTCTTGGATCTAAGTGTACATGTACATTGTAGTATGATTGCTTTCAACAACTCCTATGTCAATTTCAAGTCGTGACATAGTCCCAGTGGCTGAGAGGAATGTGCGCTGTTGTATGTAGCTAGACAATTCAGTGCCATATATCAATGTTAGTTAGAGTCCAATTACTTTGATTAGCAGCTACTATGAGTTTACAAATATGCCATTGTCTTCATCATTTCCAATGTGAGATTATATTGGAGTGCAGGGCTTGAATTTCAGGCTTGAGAAATCACTTATTTTCAAAGCAAAATCTTCTTTTTTTTGCGAAAGACCTGGGATTACAGGCTCCTATACCATTGTATATGTCGCCATGAAATATTTTTTACAAGCTGTGAATGAAAAACCTCACTGATAAATTAAAGGTGCTGGTAAATCTATTAGTTATGCACCGGATCTGAACAAAATCCATCAACAAAATTCTGAGGCTTCGTTCTGAATCTTAGGCTTGGTTCTCAAACTAAGGCTTGGTTCTGAATCTCAGGATTGGTTCTGAATCCAAGGATTGGTTAGGAATCTGTAGGATTGTTATGAATAAAATCTTGGGCTTGATTTTGAATCTGAGGCCGAGTTCTGAATCTGACGATTGGTTAGGAATCCAAGGATCGGTTAGGAATCTGCTGGTGGGTTCTGAATCTGTGGCTTGGTTCTGAAACTATGGCTTAGTTCTGAATCTGTGGCTGGGTTTAAAATCTGAGGATTTGTTTTGAATCCGAAGCTTGGATCTGAATGTACGAATTTGTTCAATCTAAGGATTGGTTCTTAATCTACATTGGTTCTGTGTTCACAATGTGAATGCTGGTTTTAAATCTGAGGTCAGGTTCAAAATCTGAGGCTTTGTTCTGATCTAAGGCTTGGTTCTGAATCTATGAATTTTTTCCAAGTCTGTTGATTGGTTCTGAATATGAGGCTTTCTTCCGAATCAGAGGCTTGGTTCTGAATTTTCTGAATTTAAGGCTAGGTTCAGAATCTGTGGCTTGCATCTCAATCTGAGGATTTGTATGAATCTGATGCTTGGTTCTGAATGTAATCTGTGGATTGATTCTAAATCTGATGGATGTGTTCACAATGTGAGTCTTTGGAAAGAAAGAAAGAATTATTTATGAGATCATGAAATATAACCCCAAAAGTTACTTTCTCTGTTGGTGTCTGTAGATTTTTCTCATCCAATCTAAATCAATTAATTAATCATAATATAATCTTGCAAATCGTGTGAAATTTTAACCCCTATTTCCTGTGTAACTAATGGGAAGATTTGCACGTATACATTGTGGCAATATGCCAGGTGTGATGAACCATAGCAATATGAAAATTTCAGTTGACATCTGGTGTGTCAGACTCAATACATGAATCAATTCTGGTTTGTGCTGCCCTCAACGTTAATTCTTTGAATGCAGAGGGCACACTTAAGCATTTCATGGCTGTAAATTACTTGTCTACTTTGTGAGCAAATGACGTTGTACTAAAAACTCCGTAATGCAGAGACCACAAACCTATAACGCTTCCAGTGATAAAATGCTTGCTTTGCTGAGAATCCTAATCATGCTATGCCATTTTGTTCGATCCGAGTGTCGCTACTACGATCTGTTTCCCTTTACTAATCAAATTCTACAGTGAATGTCGTTTTTAGTAAATTGTAGATTTTAGAAATAATTTTCATAAAAATTAATACACATATTTAAAAATTATGGATAAATGGAGCCATTATATTTGTCT